TCTCACCCTGCTCATCACTAACCACACCAAGATTAGATGGAAAAAAGCTATAACTTTGAGATAAAGTGAGGGTTGTAGAAAATAATAATTGACATGTACCTCGAAAACTAGACGTGATGGATACCACATATGTTTAGAACATTTAATCTATGACTCATTACCTATTCATTCCAGCTAACAGTTAAGAGGGTACCAAAATCGTGTAACGCAGTGTTTTCATTTGGCCGGACGGTAGCGACGGAATGTCGTGCATGGTGTTATTTACATAGCAAATGCGCGTGTGCATAACGTGACTCGTGACGATGATTATATAGCTGCATTATACAGTGCGCTTAATGCAACGCTTAGCTGCGTAATGTGCAGACAGTCGCCGTCACAGTGAAAAGACTCATAAAAATGCGGAAAGTAAATTATTTTGTACTCAAATAATGTGATGCAATTGTCGCACAATAAAATATTAAAGTACTTTTGAACATACTAGAACCCTTTATCATTCATTGCGTGAATGAAGGAAGTAACCGACAAGAAATCTATATAAATTTAATTACTTTAAATTATATTCGTTGTCTTACTTCGTATTATTTGCTACAATACATATTTTGCAGGTATGCACAAAACTTGCATTAACAATTGAAAGCGAGTAGCTTTGCTGCGTGTGTCGGCGGGCGGCATTGCGGTCGGTTTCTCTCGTACGTATCTGGTATCTCGCCCCAGAGGCGTTTTGAGTGCCTTTTTTGGAATAACTCGAGCAAATTTCGTCGGAAACTTTTATTTTACTTCGGTCGAGTTGCACTCTGTAATCGGATTTTTATTTTAATGAGCCAGTTTCGCGCCTGCGTCTCGCTCGCACCCGCCGCTGCACTGAATAAATAAACGAGTTGCTCTACTTTCTATGAGATCGTTTCTTTGGGCGGTCCGATGAGACTCAGCGTGGCGGCTGCGGCGGGCGCAGCTTTGTGTCCGCGCTCGCGTCACCGTCGCTGCCTGCCGTGCCGAAGTGCCGCACGTTTGCTACAATATTGTTCTTTGACTCTGTATATAACAACAATACTGCGCTGAGCTATCTAGATTTATATTCAAGTCACGAATTACGAAGCCGCAGAAACTACATAGTTGCGTGCTCAAAAAAAATCTTCAATAAAAATTGTTTATTGTTATACAAATACTTGGCGATATTTACGTTATAGTCTTTAAATCCCAACGTTTCAAATATCGACAATTACTAGAAACTTAATATCTGAAATATTAAGTTTTTAGTAATTGTCACTTTGTACCGAAACATTTGGGACATCGTTAGACAAGATAACTGTCGATGTCCCAGAATCGAATTCAATACACCAGATTTTTCTCTCTTTATTTAAGGGGCAGCTAAAACCTTGATTTTCAAGGTTCAAGAGAAACTCGAGATTTTGAGTAGGTACTGTATTTTTAACATCTGTTTGGAGTGGAACCTGTTGAAGATAATTCTACACTAAACGACGGCGACCTCATAGATTATAGTCGGTATCACTGAAGCCAACCATTAAGTACGGCTAAAGAAAGACATTGACAGATTATCGGCGAAACGAAGCAAGCACCTTATATGCTCATCATCATCAAGCGACGACATCGTCAATTTGCTGTACGAAGGAGGTCATGCTAAATGACGGAGAGCTAGAAGTTAAACATTTCAAGACTTTGTACGACTAACTAGAAATATGTAACTAAAATATGCTGTATGGAAATTAGTATTCTGGTGGTTACTAAAGATTTTTTTGTTTTTCGTTCTTGATTACCCACACATATAATTTACACTAAATAAACAAGCCTAGGCAATACATATTTAAACTTACCAAATAAAACTTATGCATACCCCCCAGAAATAAATGTCTCCATAATATTTTTACTCAATCCTGAACTTGATTCGTATTCAACTGCAGAACATTATACACTGGCCTGCAAACCTAAGTACATATCACATTTAAACATTCAATTTTTTTCCAAACTATAGAAGTTAGAGATTTAAAATAAAAATCGTTTTATAGCCAATTTTTTCAGCTTTCTTTAAACCTGTACTACAAAATTAAACTCTTCTTCGAGTCCTTTCTATTTTGAAAGTCTCTCTTGTGTATTTAAAAAGTTATTGCAATTTTAAAAGTGTGATACTTAGTTTTGCAGTCCAGTGTAGTCTTAAGGAAATTAGTTTGGTTTTTCCTTACATATATCCTTAAAATCGCATTTGCCTTTGCTATTCGAAACTTTCTTATTGAATGCTTAAATGGTTCTAAAAAGGTAATTCAACTTACAATAGAATTCAAATTCTTAGATAGATAATACATCATCAGCTTGATATAGTCTTTTAAACGTTTATATTCATTACCTGATCAGTTAGCCAAAGAATATAATTATGGAAAATTTTGATAGGATCTAAGTATTGGTAACTTTTTCTGAAACTTCCTTCAGGCACAAGCACAAAATACTTTTTATCGGGCCGAACGAACTTGCGTTTTATTTTGGACACAGTACAGTTTCCGACAGAAATAGTTGACGTTAGTTTTAATTGAGTCAAAGAAAATCAGCATTATATTTTGCTGTTGCCATGGACCGAGATAGTAACGACGTTTTACGTCGCAAACAATTAAAATATCATTATACAGAAAACTTAAAATGCACCTTGAAACAAAGCATTTAAAAGTGTTTCATCAAATGAGTAGCAGTAGGTATGCGAGACAATTTGTGAAATAATTTTTTAACTAAATATTATTTAAAGAACAGTCTTAATTTGAATAAATATACATAATAATTGAACCAGTAGAACATTTAGTAGGTAATTTAAATTGGTGAGAGCTGTTCTCAGTAGAACTCTTCCTTTAATTTTCCTGCGTGTTATACTTTATGGAATACCTATAAGGATGCATACAACTACCGTTCAACCTTAAACAAAAATATCGACACGTCATCAGATCGTGTATTCACAGCGGTGGAGGTGTAATGTACCCCGTAATTCCCCGTGGTCAGTGTAAGTATGTTTAACATAGAAGGTCAGAAAAATATCCCATTACGGCAGTACTCGAACGTTATGTTACCTACCGGATATGGAAAGGACTTGTTATTAGTGCAATGCACTTGTATGCGTCACGATGTGAAGGACACGCTTTGTCTGGATCAGGTGGTCGCGCGGTGGAGCGGGGTGCGCGGGCGCCGCTCGAGGTCGCTTCCTGTCGCAGGACTGGTTTGCGGTTTGCACCACTTCGCTTTGCACCAGTTTCCAAGCTCGTATCGCGAACGACCTCTTAACGTTTACTTACTTATTGTGTACTGTTCGCAGTCATCGATGTAGCTGTCGATATTTTTCAAGCAATTTGAATCGTTAATTTGCATTGGATAGTCAAGTTAGTAGTTAATTGTAAATATACTTCCATTTCTTTTTCAAATCGATATTTATCATGGGCTTAATTAAAGTGAACTAGACTATTATCCTGTCAGTATTTCTAAGAAAATTATAATCATACGACAAAAGGGTACAGCGTAAACTGTTACGTTTACGTTCTACTTAACTGTTAGCTTTTTAATTAAATTGATGGATTAAACTGTAATAATCACCACATCACACTTTTCGTATATTGTTTAATGAGAAGGGGTGTAATTAAAAAGTTAGGTGTTGCCGCTTTATGATGTACATCAGAGCACACGCTGTAAAATAATGTGATTGCAAGTCATCTTATTGGTGTAATTGGTATTCGCCTGTATTCGCATAATACCAGTTACTCTCTCTCTCTCTCTGAGAGCTCATCTATTATAATAGGTTTCGGGCATGAGTATATACGATGTTCTAACACAATAACAGTACATTATTTAACTTTGTGCAATTTATATTGAAGTGGATTTTTTGTCTGTTATATCTTTATTTTGATTGTCTGTCGTTTGAGTGGTCATTTTTGAATAGACCTCCGAGCAAGATGCGATCATCGTGGTCATGTCCGACGCTGTTTAGTATTCACAAGAAAGTAACCAATACGGCATAATACAACAGTTCATGTTCACACAAAAGTAGAAAGCGCTAGGTATTTGTTCATTTTGTTTAAATGAAATTCAATTTTTACTCAAAAACTTGCCTTTTATTGCCTGTAGATATCCTCATAACTATAATCAAACAACGCTTTTATAGTGTTACTTCTCATGTTCAATAGAAATATCAAAAAATATTATTTGTGTACATTGCATTTTTCGTGGTTTCTTACAGTCTCTGTAAAGAATGAAGATATTTTTTACGTAAACTTACCATATAGAAATACCCCATGTATTTCATATAAGCTACATATCGAAATACTTATAGAAGGACCCTAAACAGTCATATATAGAAACCTAAATCTGATTTTCAATTATCTAGACAATGATATCCCACTCAACATATTTCGTCAGCTTATTTTTTTTCTTTCTCACAATATTGCGCCTCATTGACCCCATATTCAATTACTATCATATCTTTAGTAGCCCTCCTATGATTAAGACAAATCGATTGACGTATGAAGCATCAAAATCGGTCCACGCGTTTGGTTTCTAGTGTGCCACAAATTAGCCTTGCCATTTTTCCCTTTGAGTTATACACTATGATAACCTGTCTGCACGTCCCGCTTCGCGCTCTTGCATTGCGCAGTCGGGTAAAAAACCGCGCTTGTCACAAATACACAACTTTGTTTTTATGGAAACTGAAACGACAGAGAACAGTTCTTAATTTGTGTCATTTAAAAATTAAACAGTACAAGATGACTACTTCCATTAGTGATCTGTGTCATTCTGTAAGTGTTGCTTGCTGTGTAGTTTATAGTACCTAAATCAACATTGAGGGCCAATCTCATCAATATTTTGAGTTTATTCCAATTTGGCGCATCGCTTAATCCTTGTCAATAGTTTGAATTCAAAACCCAGGAAAAAGGCTCAGACGTGATTCTGTTTGATCCTATGGACCTCACAGTATTAGTGGAATTAGAAATAGTAATTTATTTATTTTTTTGTTTCAGAAACACATCTGGATCGGCGTTATTAAACAAAATACAAGGCCAAGGGTAAGGATCTATTGTAATGGATGTAATAATATCAACTTAAAAAATATGAAACTTAAAAAACATCCATTAGTTGTAAGTTTTGATTCAGATTTAACTTTAGAAGCTAATTCTACCAGTCGTATACTATGAGCTTAAACCTTGAATAAAAGTTAAATTTAATAATATATTACAATACAGACGATAATAAACACTGGGAAACGTATGAATAATGATAAAAATAAAATTAAATATCCGTCAAATATTATTTAAGCAATGACATAAAAAATGTTATGTTCAAATCTCCCATTCATAATCATAAACAAATTTATATCATATGATATAAAACTGTGAGAAAATTGCAAATCAAAAGACAAAGAAATTAAAAGGAATTAAAGTATAATGTGAAGAAAAGTGGCAAAGTAATTTAAGTCAAATAAGGGCAGGTTATGGTAGGTCTTCGCGGTTTCCGACTCGCTGATTCCCGTGAAACCGACCGTCGCGTCGGACGTAATCAAGTAATAAATTTGTTGCATAATAATAATACTATGGGATAATTGTTGTTCAGTGAAATGAAACCTCAACGGTTACTACTTACTATTTAGTAGCTGTTGAGGTCTATTACTACTTAATTATTCCATGATTTGTATATTAATATTTTATTAAAACCTAACTTTAGGTAATAACCATTATTTTGCTCACATCTGTCTTTGTTATTTCAATGACATAAGGTGGAATACATCATTTTTCGTAAAGTAAAAAGCTAGTATTTAACATCGGTATGAAAAGAGCGCTTGTTGACGGGACGATTTCTAACTGGGCCGGTGTCGGCTAAGCTGTTTCATGAGCACGGTTTGTACGTTTGTTCCAACTCCAAACCGTCGCTACCGCCGGTATCGCTAACAAACCTATAAAGTGTCCCATACCAATCTGACGACTGGACATGGAAACAGTTTAACCATGCCTGGACCCAGCTAGAAATCGTTTCGTTGACTAGCGACATTAGCATTGTACTTTATATACAATAAATAAAAGGTCCATAAATAAAATGCATTTGAAGCATTGGTATCATGTAATGATATTCTTACAAGCGTATATATGTTTAAACGTGTGTTGGTCACACAATGCAGTTTCTTAATAACCGCTAGGTGGCACATGAACGGTCAATAAAATGGTTATAGGTAAGTGCCAAGTATTCGTGTGCATCAGATCTTACGTGATTTAGTTGTCAATCAATATGAAGTAATGACATTCGACAGACGTGCACCTATGTTAGTGTCACGCCTTTTGTGGATGGACATACTAGAGATAACCTCTGATATATCGAGATTATGAAGATACCATTCTGACCATGATTTCTTATAAACGTCGAGCATAAGTCAAGGTTATCGGGCGAACTTTACTGTGTGGCTTTGTCTGGCACTGCGATGAAAAATGATAACATTGATGGATTGCTAATGAGTTGAATTAAATATCATATACAAATTTATTATTTATAGATAATTAAAGTACACATAATGAAGTCGCTGTCAATGATTTAATAAATGGTTGCATAAAATAAATAAAAAATATTTTAATGTTTAAATCATTTTAAATTGGCTATCATTTATTCCAATTAACAATTATGTATACAGAATAAAAAGGATGGATTAATATTAAATTTAGCTTTAAGTTTAGTTTATACGCATTATTATGAATGCTGTGTACAAATAGTTACATTATTTTAAAACCATAAATTTAGATATTCATGATGTTGGTATAAGTTTATTTATATTTTCTCCTTGAAATCATATCAGTAGTAATACGCAGCGTAAGTTTAAGAATACTTACTTAAACTAGTTTTTTTCATGCAACCAGTGCTCCGGAGACACTTAAAATCTGTAGGTAAAAATTAATGGGTTCTGTTTTTGCGATTGAAGGCAGATATATTTTTAGAGTCTCACTCCGTCAGTCTGTCTGTTTCCGCGTCAGTCGCGTCGGCGCGGCGGTGCGGCGGTGGCGAGGCGCACACTAACCTGCACCACTCCACGTGTGCAGGCTATCGTCCACTTATTGTTTCACAAGGTTCGAGTTAATAACGCAAGTAGTGTATTCACCTGTGGTATTCACACTGCAGTCATTTTATAGTTGAAAAGGAAATATAATAATTTCAAGCCTAAAATTATATTTTTACGTTTATTTGGTTGATATTACCATATCATAATTTTGCAGTAAGCAATAGTTATTTATTATACAAGAGTGGAAAGTTCCTTTTTAACCGCGTGCTCGATTTGGATGACCGAGCAAGCGAAGGATTCTAAAGTTGAATCACGAGCGCAGCGAGTGATTCTAAATTAGAATCCTGAGCGTCAGCGAGGGAAACAAACGAGCACAAGGTGAAAAATCTTTCCACTCGAGTGCAATACGTAACTTTTCATCCCACCTCAGCGAGGAAATGACAAAATGAAAAAGAAAACAATTTATAATGACAAAATATTTAAGCAATAAAACGTGAAAAACTAGAATGGCGCGAAGCACGCAAATAAAACAAAGAAACCAAGAAGGTTCCAAATTTAAATTTTTTCACAATTTAAAAAGTTCTAATCATAAATTTGGCACCATAGAGGTTACATTAAATAGGTTTAATGACGTTTTGAATTTACAATTATATTGAGTACTCATTATATGTGATGTTCTAAATTCAAATCTACTTTGCCGCTCAAGCGAATAAAATAGAATTTTCCAGCCAGATTTCGAAGCGCAAAATTACACTTTCCGAGGTGGTGGGATGAAATAGTTATTTATTATACAAGAGTGGAAAGTTCCTTTTTAACCGCGTGCTCGATTTGGATGACCGAGCAAGCGAAGGATTCTAAAGTTGAATCACGAGCGCAGCGAGTGATTCTAAATTAGAATCCTGAGCGTCAGCGAGGGAAACAAACGAGCACAAGGTGAAAAATCTTTCCACTCGAGTGCAATACGTAACTTTTCATCCCACCTCAGCGAGGTAATGACAAAATGAAAAAGAAAACAATTTATAATGACAAAATATTTAAGCAATAAAACGTGAAAAACTAGAATGGCGCGAAGCACGCAAATAAAACAAAGAAACCAAGAAGGTTCCAAATTTAAATTTTTTCACAATTTAAAAAGTTCTAATCATAAATTTGGCACCATAGAGGTTACATTAAATAGGTTTAATGACGTTTTGAATTTACAATTATATTGAGTACTCATTATATGTGATGTTCTAAATTCAAATCTACTTTGCCGCTCAAGCGAATAAAATAGAATTTTCCAGCCAGATTTCGAAGCGCAAAATTACACTTTCCGAGGTGGTGGGATGAAAAATAATTTATTATTTAAGCTTTGTATAAAATTTAAAAGTAAAACAACGTTAAATTAGTTTGATTTGGAGTGTAATAAAATGATTAATAAATTAATGACAAAATACACTATTATAATTATAAACCACGTGTTCATTATTAAAGTTGTTCTAATCGATGACGAGAAAAAAAAACTAACGAAACAATACAAATCATATCATAAGTGTTTCGTTAGATTTTTTTTTCTCGTCAGGAACAACTTTTATAATGAACACGTGTTATTAATATAATAATATCGAATCAGATACTATTAAAATTAAAATTCAAATTCAATATTATAAACCAGTCTTCAGATGTAACAATAATTAAAGACAAAGCGGGGTTTTAAAATGTTTATTTAAATATATTAGGAGACTAAAATTTTTTATAGTGTTGGCATGTTGCAAAACCAGTTTCACATATTTTATGATGTGGTGTTGCACATTACCGCGCTATGCCTTGTTAGTACATAATACTAGAGCGAGTTCCGAATTGTGAACGAGCACGCCTATGTCTAAAAATACTTATGCGTTTGACAAGAATTCGATAGCGGTCTAATGAAATGCTTTACAAGACGACTGTATGTAGGTATTTGATCATGTTTTGATTTAATTTTTTTGCTGGTGATTTCTAATATTAGTCCTGATTTCGGTTTTAAATAAAACGTTTTACATTTTTGATAGCTTCTTAAATAGCAGTTAGTAGTAAACAAGGAAGTCACTAGCCGTTGGCCCAAAGGGGGACAAGTTCATAATACGTAAAAAAAAGAGTGTAACAGTGTGAAGTGCGAAGCTTCATGTACGGAATAGTTATGTATGTACGAAATTGGTATGCATTTTGGGTAGATGAAGCTTCGCACTTGTAGTTCTTTAACTCAGTTAAGATTCGAATCGCCCAGTGAATATTCGAGTTTGCAGGAAGTAGTTTGCTTGCTTGACCAAACAGGCCAGGCAAGCAAGTAAATAAGTGATTTTGGTAGCTATACATTCGGCATTTTTGAAGTGAAAACTTCTTTAGCGGCGTTGTACACTTTTTTGTATGGGTAAAAAATGTTAAACTCGCGTCAGGTTAAACACGTGGGCTGATCGCATCATGACACACAATAAAATTGGAAAGGTTGTAGTTTAGGTTGTAGGACTTTCAATATATTGGACGAAAAATAGTAATATTTTATTTTATCGTATTATTATAATAATAAGTCTCTATCTAGGACGTCCACTTGGCAGCTTTATTGCGAAGATGCATTTTTTTACAATAGATGTCGCTAGGTGCGCTTCAATGTGATTCATGTAAGTTGATTTCTTCACAATAGATTTCGCTAAGTGCGCTTAAACGTGATTCATGTAAGTTGATTTTTCTGAGAGATTAACTTTTTTAATGTAATATAAATTGTCATGTGTTTATACGATAGCGCAATAAATAAATATTGTATTCTACCTCATACATGATAGTACTTTTGTACTGATAATTAAAGCAATTCGTGCAAAATTATTCCCTAACCATTCCAAAATATCAAAAATGCACAACGTTAATATTCAAGTTTTCACTTCCGCCGACACTCCCGGGGTGCAACCCGTCTTTTTTTTTGTAAAAATCGTTTAACTATGATATCTTCTACCACAGAGTTTCCATAGCATTGCCTACCTTTCTTGTATCAAGGGTAATAGCAGTCTAGAATAA